TAATAAGTATCTATAAGAATATAATTTAATATTTAGTAGTATAAAAGAAAAGCTAGTATACTACTAAGAACTAGATATATTATTAGATATAGTAGAGAGTAAATTAATAGATAAGAGAAGGAACTAATAGCTATAGATATACTTAAAATTACTAGTAAAGATATCTATATATTCTATTCTATAGCTAGCTTAGTTTTCTAGCTTAGTCGCTACTATAGTAATTACTATACTACTACTATATACTATATTTCCTTCTTATATAATCGTAGGTCTCTTTTACTATAGTATTACTAGCAAAACGCGACCTTAATATATATAGGTTATAAAACGCGTCGAAGAATATTTAGAGATAGGTTATACTATATATATTATATTATCTTAGTTAATTAAATACTTCCGAGGACCGAATCTTGCAGGTATTAGCGCCTATTACGGGTCTTTATCGGTATATATAAGACCGAAGAGCGAAATCGCTATATATACTTCAATTTACGGTATATACTATATACCGAATCTCGTATGCAACATCCCTAGTCTTACGTCTAATGTCGCTCGACCGCATGTGTCTGCCTTGCGAGCCTCGGCCATCGCGCTCGCAATCGGTCTTGGGAGACACCGACGTCCGCTTTGTCTGGCATGTGAAGCAGCAGTCGAGGCAGCGATGAAAGCGCACAAAGAGCAGAATTGCGTTGCCTGATCAGACGTGCCGAGGACGATCAAAAGCAACACCTCTCTCTATTGGGACGACAAGTCTGTTGCGGGGCTTTCCAGACGCCCACACTGGGCTACGATCATCGCCCACCCAATTTCCAAGCCACGCTGGAACGAGCCGTGTACTATATGCTGGGTGCTGGCAACAGCCGGCGCGCCAGACGATGTCATTGATATTCAGGCCTTAAGACGACGACACCTCTGCTCATATTTTGCGTAAGGACTGCCACTTCTCATCGAACACACTCGCCTTCAGTATGGTTGCAGGCGTACCTCCGTCGTTAATCCGTCTGGGGATCAACGTGCTCGTGTCTTTCACAATTGTCAAGACATTCCCTCAATACCTGCCCGAACATGCCCTTCTTTATGTCTTCTTACGACTTCTCGGTGTCCAGCTCGTCTTGGTCGCGATATGGAAAGTCGCCATTTACCCGTTCTTTGTTTCTCCGCTCAGACATCTGCCCGGTCCAGGTCTGAAGGTGAGCGTGCTTCAAAAGTTGCACCAAACGGACCCTACTGACTGTGGCAGGGCTCTATTCCACTTCTCGGACATGGCTTGACAATCCTGGAGCGACCAGCTGGCACAAGTGCCCTCAAATGGATGAAGACAATTCCCAATGAGGGCCTCATCCACTTCCGTGGCTTTTTCTACGCAGATCGCGTTGTGGTCGTCAGCCCGAAAGCACTGCAGGAGATTTTGGTCACCAAGGCTTATGAATTTGAGAAGCCTGCGCCACTGCGTAACTTCCTCCGATTCATCCTTGGAGATGGCTTGATCATCGTCGAAGGAGACTCGCACAAGTTTCTGCGCAAGAACCTCATGCCAGTCTTCAGCTTCCGACACATTAAAGAACTGTACCCAATCTTTTGGAGCAAGTCAGTTCAGATGATGCGAGGCATCTCTCAGCAGGTCGCAGAGAGCCCAGAGTCTGCCGATAGCAAGACCTCAGTCGTTGAGATCAATCACTGGGCAACCAAAGTTACAGTGGATATCATCGGTCTTGCAGCAATGGGTCGCGACTTCCAAGCGCTGAAGAACAGCGACGACCCTCTTGTGCAAGTCTATGAGGAATTGCTCGAGCCATCAAGAGAGAAGCAGTTATTCTTTGTTGGACAAATCCTCGGACCTGCGAAGCTCATCCGAAGTCTCCCTATCAACTTGAACAAACGCAGCAATCACATCATCGAGACGCTGACCGACATCTGCCTGAAGCTGATCGCCGAGAAGAAGGAAATGATCAAGCACGAATCCGAGAGCCAAAAGGACATTTTGTCGCTTTGCATCCGATCCAACAATTTCTCTGACCATCAATTGGTAGACCAACTTCTGACTTTCCTCGCCGCTGGACACGAAACGACATCTTCAGCTTTGACCTGGACTGCCTATCTCGTTGCCAAACACCCCGAGATTCAAAAGGCCCTTCGTGAGGAAATTCGAAACACAATTCCCTCGCCAGACAAAGCCACCTCCGACGAAGATCTGGCCACAATTTTCGAAGCCGCTCCTCTTTTGAACGGAGTCTGCAACGAAGCCATCCGCTTGTACCCTACTGTGCCCATCACCATCCGTACAAACCCCAAAGATGCTGTGATTTGCGGCCAACGAATTCCCGCCAACACTCAACTCCTCCTGTCTCCATGGGCTATTAACCGCAACCCAGAATCATGGGGCCCCGATGCCGATGAATTCACACCTTACCGATGGATCGACACAGACGAGAAGACTGGCGAGCAGCGACCGAACAACTCGGGTGGAGCACCAAGCAACTACAACATTCTAACATTCTTGCACGGGCCAAGAAGTTGCATTGGACAAGGTTTCGCGAAGGCTGAATTGCGATGCTTGGTTGCGGCGTTGGTGGGAAGTTTTGAAATGACATTGGATCGCCCAGATGAGGTTGTGATTCCGCATGGTGTTGTGACTACGAAGCCTAAGGATGGTATGCATTTGAGATTGAATCCTGTAGGGCCATGGTAGATTGTTGTTGTGTATGGCGAAATGGAAAATGTGGAGGAATGATACCCATGATTGGAAATATGCCTGATAGGGCTGCGGCGGCAATGTAACTATGATGGCAATAAGATTGGAGTTTGATGATTTATTCTTGAAGGTAGACAGAAGGAAACAATACTTCTTCAAAACATTGATCTATGATGCGAGTCTATCGAAGCACACCACCGGAAATGAGCCATTTCAGCGCGCTGTATTTGCAAGAGTAAGTAGAGGACGAAAGAGAGCACGCTTTTAATCATTTCAATTGATGATATCTCATGTCAAATGGCTCATCAGACAAACGTGCCAGCGTCAAGCCACAACGTCGCCAGCCAATTGCACAAGTCGTAAGTCGTATGCATGACCAAACCCCAAGCGCCTTCGTGTATGTGTTGCGTTGAGTTGCTCGAGCCAATGTCAGTAATGCTTCATGCTTCATGCCACTTTTCGCCGCCTTAGACCGCCTTAGACCGCGCGCCTAGACAGTTCCAGCAGCCTCGTCACCGGCATCAGACTTCTTGGTCTCGTCGGCGGCGGCGGCGTCTTCTCCACCGTCCTTCTCGTCCTTGACCTTGACCTCATCATCGGCCTCCTCCTCACCAGCAGCTTCAGCCTTAGCCTTCTCGGTCTTCACGTCAGCAGTCTCGGTCTCAGCGGTCTCAGCCTCAGCCTCAGCCTCCTCAGCGACCTCTTCTTCCTCCTGCTTGACTTCGACCTTCTGCTTCTTCTTGCGCGAGCCGCCAGCAGCAGCAGCACGACCCTTCTTCTTTGGTGCTGGCTTGGCGTCTGCCTCCTCACCCTCAGCAGCGTCTTCAGTCTCCTCAGTGGCGGCAGCCTTGCGCTTACGGGAAGCAGTGCCCTTGGCCTTCTTAGCTGGCTCTGGAACAGGAGTGTCGGCGGGAGCGACAGCATCCTCGGCGTCATCTTCTTCAGCTTCACCTTCAGCAGCAGAAGCAGAAGCAGCCTTGCCCTTCTTGGGAGTCTTCTCAGCTGGTGGCAACTTGACGTCGCCAAGGAGCTTGCGGCGAGCGTTGGAGTAGGCGGTGTTGGCGGACGCAGCGTTCTTATGGCCGGTCAACAGAGCGAGCTTCGCAGTGTCGACCTGTAGGTGGCGATGGTTAGTGAGGTTAGTAGCCGCGGGGAGAGGATGTTGTAGTCTTACCTTAGGCATGTAATCCATGCACTGCCATGCGCACGCAAGCACTCTGATGTCGGTTTCGCTCAATTTCGGAACGTTGCCGTTGGCGGTCGCGGCGGCGGCGGCGTCAGTGTTGGTAGACTTCTTTGGAGGCATGTTGGTGGTAGTGATTGGTTGTTGAATGGATGTTGTGTGAAGCTTGTTGTGGTAGTTGTGGTAGGCTGCGATGTTGTTGTTGTTGTACGATGTGGTGAGTGTTGTGTAGGAGAAGAGTTGTAGAATGGAAGAAGAAGAGGAGGAGGCGGAGGTAGAAGTGGCTGGAAGTTATTTGTGAAGCGCCGTTTGTGCCTTCACTTTGCTGCAGGAGAGCTCACGTGCAAGCTGCTGATTGCTGCAGAAAGAAGTGAAGCTCGGCTTGTGACTGGCTGGATGGCCGTAGCTGTGCTTATTGATTCGTCAATCTATTGTCTCAGTATAGCACAATGCCTGGTAGAGGGTGCTGCCTGGTGAATACTAACGCTTCACTTGAAATTGTTGGGCTATTCTGGGAACCTATTGTCGTGTGAAAATCGACAAGCTTGGAACGAGACCATTGTGCACAGAGGATACTGAGTGGGGCTCTTGAACGCTCAATCAGTATCTTACAATAGACTGTTCATGCGGACCAGTGCGAATGTGAGAACCCAGAGTAGGTGATGGTCGTGCGATTGTTCCGTGTCCAATGCTGATTTTCAGCTTTTCGAAATCCCTGGAGGACAGTACCTCGCTGGTGCGCTCTCGTATCGAGCTTGTGCATCCCGCTGCGCCTGAACTCCACCACGCTCGAAATACGTGATGCTTGACTGCGCCCCTAGCACCTGTGCGTGGTCGCGCGCGCAATTCGATATTCATCGCCTATCCCCAATTCACTTCAATGGGTTTGTTCATTCCGTGCGACAATATTCCAGTAGAGACCATCTCGCTCCATCTAGAACCCACGGCCCCGTCCTCGCCCTCTGCCTCTGCCACCTCCACGTCCACCGCCGCGACCGCCCCGGGGACCGCCGCGTCCTCCAGCTGACCGATCTTGCTCCTTTCGCGCCTTGTTCTTCGGCTTCGGTGTGTCGTCGATGAGAAGAGTGTCAAGCGGTAGCGAGTCGGGCAGAATGTAGTATCGAATCTCTGATCCTCGAATTGAGACGTGATCCAGAGAGATCTGGCTGCCGCCTTTGGGCGTCATCTTCGCATTGCGCAGATTTGTATTCATTTGTGGGGAGACGCTGGCGATCGTGCCTTGGACGATGGTGCCTGCGAAGAAAGCGCAATTCGAGTTAGTTTCTTGCTCTTAGTCGCTGGGTTGTGTGGTGGTACGTACCGGTCTTGAGCTCAATCGTCACCGTCTCATTTGTGCATTTCATCAAAAACCTACCATGCCTGTCAGCCAGGCTCTCTTGGTTGCCTTTGCGAAGTTCGTTCAGCATGAGCCAGAGGCTTGCAAGCTTGTGGGTGTCTCACCTGACGAGCTTCATATTGGCGAACGCGCAATGGTCGCGCTGGGTTCAGGAACGCGTGTGGAAGTAGTGAAATGGATGCGAGTGAGTTTGTGTTGTGGTCGTCCAGTTGCGCGCAAGTTTCGGTGGTGCTGTTCTGGCGAAGAGTTCACTTTCAGTTTCGCGACGTCGAGCGGGAAGGAGCCGAACTTTATTTGGCACGGTCACGTGTCAGGCTGCTGCTTGAGGGAGAAGTCTCTCACAAGTCGCAGAACTCATGCTCTTGCTTTGTAGAACGAATAAACAGTACGGGAAGATGGACAGCAGCAAGTCAGGGTATCACATTCGGGCTAAATCCATTGGGTCGTGTCTTCCAGAAGTTTACCGGTAGCAACACAGCTACCTCCCACTCTCGCTGACCTTCTCCCACTCGCTGTCCGTACTGAACTCGCTGCTCGACATATCTGCCCTCCGAGACTGCCTCTGTCTCGTCTCCCTGCTGGCAGAACCAGTCTGCGCTCCACTCGCCGCACTGCGCACGCTAGGATCCTGCTCTGCCAACCTCGCAATTTTCTCCCTCTTTTCCGTCTCTAGTCCGCCCACTCCCTCATTCAGACCGCCTGCTCCTGTCAAGCTCGCCATGCTGTCCGCCATGCCCCTCGTAATCTCCACCTCCGTATCCTCACCCTCATCGTCTGCATCTCCGATGTCCGCTTTCTCCTGCCCCGCAGCTGCAGTTTTGCGCTTCCTCAGCCTCTCCGCCTCATCTTCAGCTCGTTGTGCTGCTTGCAACTCTTTTGCAAACCAGTTGATGCTGTACCACAGACCTCCACAAAGGACCGAGAGGATGGCAAAGTGTATGCTGGACGTCGCAACGAGGAGACCGAGAAGGAGAGCTTGTAGCGAGGCGAAGGTGACGTTCGTCGCGATGAGGAGTGTTGGAGTCGTACCGGGCGTGAAGACGGATTCCCATAGGTTGGTCAGGAAGTCAGCCATGGCGGGGAAAGTGGTTGTGAGATGGAGAGGCGTGAACGCGCTGGCTGGTCTTTGATATGTGCAACGAACGCTGATTTCGTTTGTGTTTGCTATGAGGTCTCTCTCTTTGCGTTGTAGTGTTTGTGCTCTCCAAGCAGCTTCTGGTTCTGGTGTTCGGGACCTCTTGCTCTCTGACCCGCGTCCGTGCCGCCGATTTGTTCTCGTCGAGCTGTAGGAGGTACCGGGATATCGTCGAGAGTTGTTCGCAGTCTGCTTGTCGCTCACCTTGCTGCTGGATCTTAATATGCGGCAGGTGTCATGCTCCTTCTGACAATTGTCAACAGCGGAAGGCAGCAGGAAGCATGACTTGTCCCGCGCGTAGACAGCTGCTTGAGAGGAACGCGGGCGGCGTGTGATGCGTCATCCTGCAGCGTGCCTGTCGCTATCACGCGACGACGAGGATGTTGACCCAGCGTTTCACGAAAGTCAAGCATCTTCTCTGATAACAACCTCCAACAAGCTCTACTAGCAAAGGGTCCATGAAGCTTCGTTCATGGAGCGCCTCCAGCTGCTGAGAGGTCCGGCTTGTTCAACCTCATCGAATCCGAACATCGCTCGTTCTTCCTGCTGTACAGGAAGCACCGTACAGTCGAGATCATCCCTGATTGACAAATGACTCTCGTGACATGAAGCTCTGACCGCACTAAGATGACCCAAACCCAAACCGGAGATCAACTAACAGCATGACAAGTAATCAAGACGAAGTGTGCTCGGTCATTCCAAGGTTTATCAACGACTACAATTATCCCGACCAGTTCTGGATGAACCCGATGGCTCTTCCCACACGTGCATAGACGCCAGGACTCTGTGGCGCCGCGCAACCATTCAAGCCAAAAGACACGACTCCAATAACCTCGCCGGTAAAGTCATCATATAGCGGACCACCGCTGTCTCCCTGGCAAGAGTCGCGCCCTCCCTCGGGATAGCCAGCGCAAATCATGTTCTGAGTGAATGGCTGCGGGAACAGAACGTCCGCGCAAGTGTCAGGATGTACGACAGGAACTTGGACTGCCATGAGGTCCTCCGTAGCTGGGCCATTGTTACGAGTGGCACCCCTATCAGATTGTCAGCTTGATCGCACCATTTCATCATCGCAGGTCAGTGCGTACCAGCCTGCCACAGTGGCTGGAGTATCAGGAGCCGGGTCGGAGCCTGCAGGAGGCAGAATCGCATAAGCAATGTTTGGACCCTCGAAGATCGGAGTCGATAATTTCAAGATGGCGAAATCATTGTCGAGAGTGCTTGGGTCATATCCGCCATGGATTATGGCTTGCGTTACACCACTCTCCTCGCCGCCAAATCTCCATTGCTGTTATGCATCAGCCTGTGAACCCGATCGAGCTCTTAGACACTTACATTGGTTCCAGCGACTACAGTAAAGCTTCCGCCCATTTCGACGCAGTGAGCAGCAGTCAGGACAGTGTATGGGTCGATCAGAGCACCTCCGCAGCTGTGGCTTCCGCCATTCAAAAGTGAGATAGTGGTTGGGAATTCTCCTGGGTTGGCGGTATATCCACCGACGATGCCGGCTTCCATGTATTCTTCCCGAGGGGGTGCATTCTCATTGCGGTGTGACGATCCTGTTGGAGCGTCAAGTTTGGCGTCTTTATCCCATATGATCTCTGCCTCTCCAGAGGAAGCGGGAGCTGGCAGTGCTGCCACAAGGGCTGGAATGGCCGAAGCAACAAAAATGAACTTCATCATGAACACAGGTCGCGCTCGTGTTTGGGAGAGCAGGCTAGCTTAACAGCCGAGGCCATCAAGCTGTTCTTATACAACTCCTGCCTCAGCCTTTCCTCAACGCAGGCCATACCATCGCTGGAGGCGAATGCCGTCCCGTTGCAGATGTGCTTCAGTCTCACGCTGCGTGCCGTGAGACTATAGGGAAATACCACTCGTAGACCGATCAGAGCAGCGCAGCCTATAGCAGACCAGCAGTAGCGAGAAATGCTCAATTGAGGCATAGAGGTATGCCGATCGAAGTCAATGCCAAGCAGACCGCCATAGAGCTTCTTAGTGGACCTTCCACATGCGGTCGGCTAGTGGTCTTGGTATGCTACCATGTTGCCTCTGAACATCTGCACAACGTCTGGGCAATGACATGTTACTGCATAAGTACTGTTGCGACTGTGAGCGCTGAGAGCGATGATCTCGACGATCTCTCATGCTGCAAGGCCACAATGGTCGACAAGAATTGCGTTGTCGTGAGTATCCATTTGTGAGTCCACTCGCGCATTCGCTTTGCTGCACGTGCTGCGATCTAGCAGTCAAGAAGGTACTTCATCCTTCGATTGAGTAAGGACTCCGCAATGAGGGTGAATCGTGTATTTCATAAGCACCGTACCTTCAAGCTGCAAAGACAAACTTCGGATTCTCATCACCGAGTGCAAGGATCTCTTCGTCATTCATCCCTTGCATTCTTTCGTCCCTCTTGCCAGCTGCTCGCATCTTGTTCTCGCGTGTGAAGTAGACGTACATGACAGCATACAACACGCTACCTAAGCCGACCAATGCCATTGTCACACCGTGACCTTTTAGATATCGTGGCCCTTCACTTGAAGGATACAGAAATGGTGCCATGATGCCAGAGCAATTACCAATCGTGAGTTGGAGCCCTGTCGCAGTCGTTCTCTTGCCATATCGCGGATTGTTTGAAGGAAGCCATGCCAGAGGTATTCCAACAGCAACGTAAAGGCCCATGGCGACTAAGAAGCATCCGGCAAAGTGAACGCCCGTGTTGGCATCTGAAATAAGCATGGCATACCCCACGACCGCGATCAGACTGAAGAGAACCGCGACTGGGCCTCGCGATTGTCGCCAGTCGCTATACCTCGCCGCAGCCATGTAAGAGACGGCTCCAACGGTATAGACGGGAATTGTCAAAACCTGCACAATAGCCCTAGAGCTCTCTGGTCGAATGGCCAAGATGATCGTAGGCAGGAAGGTGCTGAATCCGTACAGCATGGTATCCAAACAGAATTGCCCAGCACAGAACATCCAGATCTTCCAGTCCTTCAATCCTTTCCTGACATCCTTCCAGTCAAACACGTCGACGTGTCCCACCTGCGTGGCTCTTCTCGCCAAAATCAATTCCTTCTCTTCATCATTCAAATAGTATGCCGTTTCAGGATCATCCGCCAGGATCCACCAGCAAGCAATACCCAGAAGCAGTGTCGGCAGACCTTCAATGATGAGAATCCACCTCCAGCCTCGCTGGCCTGCCACGCCATCCATGAAGCCGATGCCATATGCGAGCAGTCCGCCGCAAGCTCCTGCCAGCGCGGCACTGACAAAGAGGTATCCGATTCGTAAGGCAAGCTCATGTTTCGTGTAGAAGAAGGTCAGGTAAATCGCCGCTCCAGGAAATAGTCCTCCTTCGACCAACCCAAGCAACAACCTACACACGATCAAGCCCGCATAGCTCTGCACCACGCCCGTCAAAGTCGCAATGATCCCCCAGGAAACCGTGATGAAAGCAATCCACCTCGAAGGCCGTACATATCCTTTCAGGATCAAATTCGAAGGTAGCTCGGAGATGACGTACGTGACGAAGAGGATGCTGACAGCAGTCTGGAACTGCGACGACGAGAGTCCGAGATCTTCTTCGAGGCCGTAGAGCCGGGCATTGCCAATGTTGACGCTGGTATTGGAGCTTAGCTGGAGAAGCTTGATGAGGCCTGAGGGAAAGAGCCGGAAACTTACCGGTCCAGGAAAGAGAGAAGGTAGAGAAGCATTACCACGGGAATGATGTGGAGGTCGAGCTTTCGGACCAGCTTCTTCTCTTTGGCGCGGTCGATAACCACATTGCCGCCTTCTTCGGTATCAGAGGAGTAGATTTTGGGATTCATGGTTGTGCCCTCTTCGTCGTTGTGTTTGGCGGCCATGGTTTTGGGTGTAGAAAGCGGTGAGTTGTTGTTGCTATCGAGTCATACTGCAGATGGTTTTTGAAGACAGAAGGAGAAGGCGAGGAAAGCCGAAGTGGCGTACTAGCTGTACGACCGACTTACCTATCTCTCTGTAATATGACTAGGCTGTTGAGCCGCCAAGTGATAAGTGAAGATGGTGTGTACACAAGCAATGACGATAATGATGAGAAGCAGAAAACTTGAAAAGTAATGGAAGCGAGATCGGCGCGTGTAGCCGGCGAATCAGGCACGAATGATGCAACGATACTCGATTAGCATATACAACGCTCGACGATCACAACTATGCATAGTATGCACACTTTCAAGCCTTTGTTGGCATTGCGCCACGTAGATTTTGCTATATGTGCTAGATCGAACTTTTTAGCAGTCCTTGTCCCAGAACAACTTGGCATATGCCGGCACCGTATCAAAGCTCGTGAAGACACCGCCAGTGCTATTTGTCACATTGACCCATCCAGTAGTATTTCCAGTCAAATACTTCGCAGCAGCTGCGGCAAAGAAACTGGTAACATATACATCGACCAGAGTATCATCGCTCGTAATATTCAAAGTCGACACATTCGCCGCAACGTAATGATCGCTGTTGTACGATCCTTGATCAAAATGGATCGTATTATCTCCGTCGTCGCCAAAGTCATCACTGGTATAGTAGCCTGGTGTTGTCCAAAGGCCAGTGGTCGAGTTGTAAACAGTTTGGCCGCTGGAGGCTTGGCGCTTATAGACTGCGTCAGTCTGCATGTTTGCGAGTATGTTCTTCGCTACACGCCAGGGAGCTGTCATGTATTGCCAGCCATTTTGATAAGGATTGGATTGATAGGCGTTGTCCAAGGTGAAAGGACCCTTCAAGATGTCGTATCGAAAGCCTCCAGTGTTGGTCATGATTATACGGGGAGTGTTGTTTCGATCAGGGGCGTATACAACAGCTGGGAAGACAGTTGTCGCAAGCCAAGTGTACAAATTGTTCGGCGACGAAGCCGGAAAGCGGCTCTGGTAATACGAATCAGGCGCGCAGCCAAGCAGGTTCGTAAGCTGAGGCAGCGTGCTGATGTTCGATGTGATTTGGTTCGAGATTCCCTGTCCGTAAGAAGTATTGAACTCTTGTCCCAGAGACGCGGTATGTTTCTCAAATGTAGGTCTATTGAAATCCAGATACTGACGCGTATAGCTCAAATTTGACGAGATCGGTTGCGTGAAGTTCAGCTGAGGAATTGCTGATGCTTTCGTTATCTTGATTGTGCCGCTTCCCTGAGGACTCTTTGCACGAGTCACGTTCGAAGGTAGCCCATCAATGCTTGTCCATCCTACTGTCTCGCAGTACCTACCTGCGGCAGTACCAACAGCAGAAGCATCCCAAGCGACAGCATCGCGAATATGTCGATGACCACCGAAGATTTGAATGGGTGTGGTGGGATGATATTGTCGAATCGCGGCGTATATGAGGTTCCACTCCGTCGACTGTCGAAGAGTAATGTGGCCACTGATGACGAATAGGTCAATATCCTGCCGGCTGGCCTGCTCCTTGAACCAAGATTGTTGGACTGCAGTACCAACTGGAGTAACGACTGTAGCATTACTGTTGCCAGTGAAGTTGAAGATGAAAGCAAACGACATAATACGGATGCCCATCTTCGTCTGGTAGTATGCGTAGCGATCCGCGAAGGGCTTTTGTACGCCATTGTCATAGATGTCGACATTACTTGTCAAGTAGCGTCCGCCCCAGTTCGGAGCGAAATTGTGGTATGTGTCGTTCGCAATCTGAGTTGTGTAGAGTTCGTGGTTACCGATGGAGAGCAGGTCGTATGGTAATTGCTTAAAGATGGGCAATGTGAACTTCCCATTCGGTGTCGTCGCGTCACCAAACCCAGTACCATCGTGCAAGTCGCCGCTGTCAATGAGAAGCAGATCAACTCCCAGGACATCAGCCTTGGCTTTCATCTTCCTAACAAAGTCGGCAAAGTCTCCATAGTCGGCAGAGTAGTTCTCGTCAAGCAGATGTCCAGCGAGCCATCCATGGGTATCTGTGGTCGATAGAAAATTGATCTGACCCCAGTGAATGTCCTTGATTTGTTGTGGGAGGGTAGCTTCGGCGCTGGGCTGGATTCGTTTTTCGATATCATGACGGCTCATCAGAGCGTGGTCCAAGACGCCACCGCCCGTCAGAGGTGAAGTCCAGTCATGATCCTCGCAGCCTCCAGACAAACGTGCTAGCAGAGCTACTGCTGCAAACGACAGTTTGCTCAGCATGATCGAAGACCTTGGTGGACCTTGCCGATACAGCTTGTGTCAGTCAGTTCTAGTCACACAAGCCAAATGCGCGTAAGCTGCACAATATGGCTGCGACCCTAGTCCTTCCCACCTCTTCTATACCGTAGGCCTCTTCGTAGATTTGGTCACCCAGCCAAAAAATTAGTACCGTCGTGTCGCACCACACGTTCCGACACAGGAAATCTGAGATGATAACAACACAAGTGCGTACGTACCACCGCCTCACGCTCTCTCGCCTATCTCACCGGCAAATGCAAAAGAAAACGCAAGACATGACCAATAGAACATGTCTGGCTCGGCACGCACAGCAATGCTTCGGTGAGCTTGTGCCCACCAAGATAGGCTGAGAGGCGGACCGCACGGCTTGTTCAATACGACTTGGCCAGAAGAGGATGGTGTCACCACGGGACTGTGACGCTGGAACCACGCGAGCCACGGCAAGTGCTTTGTGCGTCACGTTCAATGTTGATCGTCAACTTTGATGCTGATTTGATGAGGAAGTTGACTTCACTTGGCATGCGCACCGAGGGGACACGATCCTGCCGTCACGCGTGCTGCAAAATGCCAGGCGTCCCGTAGTTGTGAATTGGCTGAGAAAAGGTTGGAAACCCGACCTCTCAGGGAAGCCTCTATGCTAAGGACACTACGACCACAGTGTTCCTGCCCGCTGACCCAGCATGAGCTTTGTTCCCGCTCATTCTTCGCTAGATTATTTGCAGCTTCATATATTATTTGATCATCACGCTGACTCATCGGCTGTGGTGTCGGAGTGGTTAACGAGTCAGACTTGAATTCCACTATAATTCTTGCTATCTGATGCCTTCGGGCGCGCAGGTTCGAATCCTGTCCGGTAAGCAGTCTCCACGTTTGACCTCCCTTGAGCAACTGCTAACAACCGTCACAGCAGCGTGTCATCTAAACAGGCTTCTTTTTTATTTCTTTTTGCCAAATTTGGCTTGTTAGGACCATATCGATTGTTTAATGGAGAGCGAGACTACGAGACATTCCCGGAAATTTTCTTTTACCTTTGTGTAAATCGAGAAGACAGCGATGGCCGCTTCCCTGCCTCGTGTCGTTTCGATAATGGCAAGAGGCCTCGCTTCAGATTGTTCCTGCTCCCTGTTCAGAAGATGCGCCTCCATCTTTTGACAACAGATTGACGCAGAGAAGTCCAACTCTCCTCAGACAACGAAACAGAAGCCAAAAGTGTTTGTGGCAGGTGGAGCACGTTTTATATTGCTTCAACCTATCTACAGACTACCATAATCTCGGGACCACCTGAAGGGAATACATTCTGCACCGCCCTTGGCATCTGTAGTGACTTGTTCGAAAATCTACTGTCCATTTCTTTCTGTGCACAATGTGTTCAGGTCCAATCTGGACGATCCTCCCCGCTGTGCCCGCAAAGCTGGGTATATGTGAAGAGAACACAGAGAAAATAATAAAACCGGGAAAGTAAGCTTCCGGTTCTAGTACGAAGTGGGTATTGAAAACAGAGTGAGCGATCCTGGCTCAACTTCGCTGCAAACTGTCGTGGTCGTAAAGTTCATGAAACAGAAGTGAATCCTCTCTAGATTGGGTTGACAGGCCTCCTGGAAGTACATGTGTGTCAAGATACGATGACGTGCTCAACGCCCCCCTTGCGGTGTGTGAAGAAGCGACGAAGACTGATTGAGCGACTCGTCCTGGAGGAACGTGGTTTCTGCGGAGATGTACCGTCGAATGCTGTAAAGAATTCCTTTGCATCGGCACTGCGGTTTCGTCGCAGGACTCGGGGCGTTGAGCTCACAGGGTCAGGCGATGGGAAGAGACGATGGCCGCCATGGGTACCCTTTTTGGAAGCTGTATCGACCTTTTCTACAGGTAATGCCGTCAGCTCCGGCGAGGATTCTCTTTCAGAGCGATCAGGAGTAACGTGGTCCGGTTCAGAATCGTCTTTGCCACGCTCAGAAGAATGGGCTGAATCCACTGGCCTGGGTATGAACTCCTTGATGGGTCCGGGTGTACTCGACCGGCTAGTATTCATCAGAGGTGCTGGCAGGCTCTTCAATCGCTTCGAAATTCGTCTCGAGAATCCATCACGCATCATGGAACTCCTCGTTTGGGATGAGGCTGGTGTGGTGCCATCGTCGTGAGCTGCAACAGCGACAGGCTTTCGTGATGTGTGTCTGTCGTTAGTCGGATCTGCTGTGGCAGGCGCGGCATTCTGACTCTGTGATCGTCGAACATGCCGTTCAGGTATACTGGGCGCCTGTGTGGCGTTATTTGTTCGCGCTCGTGAGCGTGGTCTGCGTGGGGCATCTGGAGGGTTACTGCGTAACGGGCCGCAGTCGCGAATGAAGTTTGAGAGTTCTCGAGTGCTCTCCGTGGCGTTGGTAGTCGGCTCTCTTGCCGATGCGCCGGATGAAGTTCTTGGTCTGATCACATCATGAGCTGAGACACGTGGAGGCGCTGGTACTGCTTGACGTGGTTGCTCGAATCTGGTTGACAGTGGTACAGGATGTGGCTTTGCCATGGCAGCTTGCTTCGCTGCACGACCCGAGCTTGGCTCTTTGGGGAGAGGCTTATCCAGCCACACCTCTGAATGCCGCACTGAATGCCGGGATGTGGAAGGTGTCATATCTCTGGTGAACCGGGAGCGCAGGGGTGAACTCGTTCCAGACATTTGCGTGCCAGCCGACACTTGCCTCCCCTGGGTCTTGTTCCGCCGACTTGCAGCAGCAGCATGTTTGGCAATCTCCGCAATGACGGTCTCAAGGATGACCAGGCTGTTGCGCAGGTTGTCGCCTTTGGTGCGCAAATCGCGCAGATACGACATCCAGCCTTGCTCATTACCTCGCATGGCAGCGAAGACCTCTGCGATGTCCGGATTGTCTGTTCGTGGTCGTTGCTCGATACGGGTGAGATAGGTACTCAGCTCTTTGGTGGACTTGATACCATTGTGGATATCATGCATGGCAGCATTCATGACCTTGGCTGTCCGGGCAATGATTCTCTCGATCTTCTCGTTGCCATTGAGCAGGTCTGTCCGGAACTTCTTCTCGTCCAGCATTACCTCAAAGACGTCCATGTGTTGCATGGGCAACTTGAGGTATCGTATCCGTTCTTCAATGTCCCTGATGGCCAGGTCAAAGTCCTCGGCCGTCCTTTCCAGAAACATGTCGACATCATTGACGTGACCTTGCAAGATCTTCACAACCTCTTGATTGGATTTAGCCTGTCCCTCCTTCAACAGGTGCATGCCAAACGTCAGCTGGGCGATCAGCTTGACGAAGGGGTGGTACTGAGCACCAGGCTGCTGCTTCCACCGCACCACGGGGCAGTCCTCATCGCGCTCTGCTTCCAGCAACCTCTTTCGTCTCATCTCTGCGTCTGTGTCCGGGTCGGGAAGGTCTGTGGGCGACTGGGTGGCCTCTATAATAGATTCCTCGAAAGCGTCCTGCAGCTGGGGACACGGGTGAACCGGGGGTGCCATGACGCTTTCATCGTCCTCGTCGGAGCGATGGCTAGCTGCATCGGAGTCCCCTTGGGCGGACATGGAGTGGAAATCCTCATCATCGCTGGAGCTGTCGCAGAACGGTAGCGACGCCATGGGTGCGCGCTGCCAGAGGCGAACCCCTCGCTTCCAGGAGTTGGCAACCGATCTTCTTATAGCCTACCGGGCCTGACTTGGGTCGCTGAAACGACTGAGGTGCAACGGGCACGCATGGGGGCTTGAACTCTATGCAGTGGCAGTGGCAGCCGGAGGAGCGGCGGGCGGGCGGGCGTCTGCCTCTACGCGCCGGGCGACGAGGGCGACAGTGGGAAGGAGCAGTAGATGCGCAGCATGCGAAGGCAGGAGTATTCAAGGCCGCACGGCAGGTGCTCGCAGGCCCGCGGAAAGCGAGCCGGGAGGAGAAACGAGGCATCGCAGCAGACGGAGACGGAGACGGTGAGGGCGGGCTCGAGCAGGTCTGTCTCAGAGGGGAGCAATCCCTGTCGCGTGCTGCTTCACGTCCACAGCGTCCGCCCACTTGGCACATCATTGCGCGCCGCACCGACTCACTCCCGCGCGCGCCTGCAATTCCATCGCAGCAGCCCGCTGACTCGTCGTCCACTCGTGAACGGCGGATGCGCATTCCCCCAGCGCGGTGTGCGCTGTGCTCCCAGTGCGTGCTTCTCACGAGCGCGTGCAATCGCCGAACACGAGAAATTGTCTCTTGCACGTTGCCAGAGCTCGAGCTGCTGCGTGGGCCCGTTGTTTCAGCCCCAGGCGAGGCAACGGGGGTTCTGCAGCTCTTCTGCCAGCGCGCGTCACCTCACCAGCTCTCGCCTCCCGGTGCGTCCGCGAACGGACGATGGCCGCGCCAAGCGTCGAGCACCACTTCAATGGCGACGGCAAGCTGTTGACGGCCACCTCAGACCGGCGCACCGAGATCCGGAAAGCCCTCGTCGCCCTGCAACAGGAGCTGCAACGCCTTGAAGGGCACCCTGTCCAGGTCACCTCCTCCATCCGATTCAATGTGCTTGGACCCATCCCGAAAGAACATGTCTACACCATCAACGTGACAGATGCCGCCTTCAATGCAGATCAGTTCGCGAGGACCAGGACGCCAGCCGAGCGTCTTCCTGGCGGCTCTGCTGCTTCACCAGTGCCTTCAAATCATGTGAATGGACGAAGAGCATCGGCCGCGTCTTCGGTTCGGGGCAATGGTGACGACGAATCTGAGGGGCGTCCGACCAAGCGCGCACGCCTGGACGGTGATGATCGGAGGACTGGCAGCATATCCGATTTGTCTACGGTGCAGCGAGTCGACGAATTGACGAATTTTGTCAAAAGCTGGCACAACGAGTGGAAAGGTCAGGGTGGCTGGCTCTTTGACGCACTCAATGGTGTGGCAAAGACACAGAAAACTCACAAAGACCACTTTGATCGGAAGCTCGACACCATGCAGGACATCCTAGGACAGTCGATCAATTCCGCCACTGCGACAGAGATGGCGGAGCTGGCCAGTATCACTAAGCTCATACCATGGCTCGAACAATGCCGCAAAACCAACGCAGACAAAGTCCAAGCCAGAGAGGAGAAGTGGCGATCAAGTAGCGCTACGTTCCATGATCAGACTCGGCGAGAACGAGAGGCAGCGGAGGCGAGAATCGAGAAAAGGCTCGATGCTCAACACCAGATTCTGATGAAGCTAGCCGAGTCCAATGGCATTGATATGGACGATGAAGACGAGGAAGATGACAAGCACAGCGAAGCGAGCCTAGGTGCGCAGTTAACTGCCGAGCTCAATTCAGAAGCCCAACGAGCAGAGGCGGATTCCCGGAATTCTTCTACAATCAACATAGACTGAAGAAGCGGGACCGAGAGATTTCAACTTTTGGCTTGCGAGTACCGGCGTAGATATCCGACTACATGCGTGTATGTGCATGTGCTGGTGACCCTCCTGCAGGACCTGCTGCCATCAAAGTGCAAAATGGGCGCGGAGAGCGTTGTTACGGCTGACACAAATCTCATCTGAAAATGCGGGACTATGTGTCTCTACCAACCACGCCATCGGATCCAGACGTCCTCAATTCGGTCAGCATTCGCCTTGTCGGAATCGACGACAAGATACCACCCGAAGTTCACGCCAGCAATGCATGCATGATTAGGCCAAAGCAATAATTTATCGCCAACGCCAAGGGTGCGAAAGTTATCCTTTGGGCCCTCCCAAGTCAGATTTCCGTGCTCTTGCGAAATACGGCCAACGATCCAGCCTGTCTGGTCACCTTCTGGATCGTATGTTTGTCCTGAAGCCGCGGGCCATGGTGTCACAACAGCCCAGCCAGGGTAGCTCTTGCATGGCTCCCGCCCCAGCACTATCCCGCCTGCTGCTATCAAGGCCTCAGGTTTCTCGCCTCGATCGAAGTAAGTGCTGGCCACTTCTGTCAAAACGCGAAATCCAAGATCGCGAAACGACAGAAGGCTTTGCCCAGTTCTCGCACTCGTCTGAGGTCGTGCTCTTGTCGCCAATTGTTGCATGTCCATGACTGGGTACACGCCGGCATGAAATTCGACATCGAACGACTGCTGGACTCTTTCGATAGTAGAGCGGTACTGCTGGACAGCTTCACTGCCTTCTGTCAAGTTCTGAATCGCTGTGGCTGTGGGCGTTGCGCCAAGCGAGAGAACGACTTTCGAAGATGACTCGACATCGCGCCCGACAGAGTTCAAAAAGGAGGTGGCGCCTTCTTCCAGCCCCAGAATCTCCTGAGACATGAACTGAAGTGCATCCTCGGGACTGCTGGCTGAATAGCTGTGACCCATGTGAGTGTACACTCCAGCAAGAACGGCCTTCTTTGCGCCCTTCAGCGCTTGAGCAAGATCTGCGAGTTGCTTCGAGCCTGCTGGCACTCCTTCGCGATGATAGCCGACATCAATCGTAACCCAGACTGGAACTTGACCGGGCCAAATGTCTTCGCTGACTTGTTCAATGAGATTGACATGATCTGGGTGGTCGACGAAAATGCCTACGGTCCCTGGTCCGAGGATACGCGTCACGCCTGCGAGGCGCGGAATTGCAGAAGGGGAAATCGGAAGGCCATAGAGAATGGAGATATGCTTGCCGAGTTGGACACTTTCGAGGAGCCATGGACTTAGTGATTCTACTTCGGAGATCGTTGAGGCGACAAGCTTAATTGAAGGGCTGGTGTGGCCAACTTGATATTGTGACAGCTCTGTGGTCTTGAACATTGCATATTAGTCGATGCGGACTGATCGAGTGATGAGTTACCTCTTTCCATGCTTCGTCATGTGAGAATGCGATCTTGTGCTTACTTTATGTGTCTTAACATGTGCTCGAAACCCAACATTCAACTTCTCTGCTGTATCGAGCATGAGTTTGCAGTTCCTTCGGATGACAGCCACATCGAGAATCGCGGCAGGTGCTTGTATGTCTTTGATTTCCTTGCCAACGAATTGTAGCTTCAGTGCTGCCGCCGATGGCGTGGGATATAGGAAGGATGTTGGAGTAGCCATCTTGTCTTGTATGCAGTGGTCGATGCCTTGACAACGGGCAGAGTGTTCAAGTAACAGAAGTTGGATCTATGATGTGGCTAAATGTTCTGTGGCATACCACTGTGATCCGATGATAGGATGAAGTGTATAAGATGTTGTTACCCCATAAGTATTATGTGTAGCCTGTGCCGGTCGAGCTGTTACCCCATAAATATGTGTCAGGACGAAACTTTGCAGGGCGTGAACAAGTGCAGGTATTATCTTCTGGCGTTGTTGGCCGAGGGCCTTGCTATTGGCCTATCGTAGTCGCCGTGATCGGCAGCGGCGACTTGATCCTGGGAAGAAGTCGAAGGCTTGCGACTTTCTATCGAGTTCGCTCCCAACTGCCAAAGTTGGAGAATGTGAGCGGGGTGGGAATGAGCGTGCCAAGACTTTGCATCTGTCCCTGGTCACCACCGCGCCTGCTGCTTTGAAAAGTCCGTCCTCCGCACTCTCCGCCATTGATTAGCAAATTGACCGAACCAGAACTCGAAATGGGTGAAACCTCGAAACGCAAGGCGGAGAACAGCGGCGGAGGCGACGGAAAACGAGCGAAGGTATGCACTTCATTGAGCTGATGCTTTGCGTGCTCGCAAGTACTGAAATCCCTCTACAGACCAAAAAGCAGTGGCGGACTCCAACGAATGGACGTGATGGAGGCAGCTACCAACAGCAGCAAACCATTCAAGCTGGAGACGTGGGTATCTTCGTCACATGTATCAAAGGCAAGGAAAGCAAGGCCACAGGCGAGATGAGAGACCTCTTGGACGACTACGCCGAGCGACTCTACCCCGAAGCTCTTGCCGCCGGCAATGATGAGAACGAACAGGATGACGACGGTGCAGGCTCGGGAGTCGATGATATAGAAAAGGAGATCAACGCCGAAGTCCAGGAGATCCGAAAGCCGAAGGTTGCGAGGTTGTTCACGCCCATTCAACTGAGCACCCAGTGCAGTAAGTACCTTCCTTTCTGGGCATTTGAGAGACCCATCCTCTTCCCATGCGTGCCATCCCATCAGCCATCAACCAGACTTTGACATTGCCGGTTGATGCACGACATTGCGCCGTCTCCGCGGGGTTGGCACTTTCGGACAACGCTAATCGTTACCAGTTGTTTTCTTCAAGACCATCGATCCGGTGGAGCCGGTCTCGCTCGTAAAGAGGATATGCGAAGATGCCATGAGCGACAATGCTCGCAAGCGAACTAGGTTTACACAAAGACTTACACCTATGACCTTCATGGGCCGAGCATCCGCGGAAGGGCTGGAGCAAGTGGCCCTCAAAGTCCTTGGTCCGCACTTTCACCAAGAACCGTTCAAAGCACGCACGGTATGTGAACCCTGGCGTATGCCCGGAACATGCCAAGAAATAACCCTCGTTGTTTTCTGTGACGGAGAATACTGATTAATGCCTCTCCTGCAGTTCGCAATCCGGCCGACGATCCGAAATCACAACATCTTGACCCGCGACAGCATCATCAAGCAAGTTGCTAGTCTCGTAGGGGAAGGCCACAAGGTCGATTTGAAAAACTACGAGCTACTGGTCATTGTTGAAGTATATCAGGTAGGTGGCTTCTGAAGGCTTGCGTCTAGGCCATGAAATTCTTCCACACGAGCCGAGGCTGCGCGGAGCGACAACTAACTTCTCAACTAGCACATCTGCGGCGTCAGTGTCGTGGACAGCGATTTTGAAAGATTGAAACGCTTCAACATCTCGGAACTCTTTGAGCCAACTCCGAAAGAGCAGGCCAAGGAGAAGTCGGGGAGCGAATGAAAGCACGAATTGGTGAGCGATCTGTCATCGGCAAGTCCGAGTCCGCGACACCTGGGCACCATGGTTCTCGGAGCTCTCATCCGTGTCTTGCATTATTCACAGGTCTCAAGCTGCGGTCAAATCCCCATCAGACACTGCAGGACGTCGCGAGTGGCACCTGAATTGGGGATCGTGTTTGACAGATCTGTCAAAACAAGCGAGCCTTAGGCGACTTAACGAGGATCTGCCGCCTTCCGGCCCGTTAACCGAGATGGTGGGACCATCAAGTATCGCTAGGCGAAGCATCTTTCCCTCGCAGACTTTCACAAAATCGAGGGCCCGAAAAGTGGCTTGGCTCGGTTTGTGCGCCGGCGGCAGCACTGTAGCGATGAGGATTTGCGGATGGCACCCTGCAATGGAACGACTCTGAAGTCGGGAGGCGAGAAGCAACTGACTACGAGGCGCTGCAAGATCCTGAAGGCGTTCTCCAAGATCTTGTACTCGCGATCATCGACGCATTTTGCAGTGGCTTGATCTCTGTGCTCCCTGGCGCACATGGCTTTGCTCGCGTGGACTTCCGACGACTGGGTAAAGCTTGACGTCGGGTCGTACTACACCGCTGCTACAAGCACCATTCTACCTTAACGCTGTCTGGTGTCTGCATCGTACAAGACGTCAGCCGCACCAAAACGCCGGTCTTCAATTAATCTTTCTGCTTCGTCGACAGTAGTTCTGCAACGCAATCACACTCTTGGCTGTGCTGCGTTGCTGTATGTTGGCGTTCGGCTCCAGAACCGAAAACAGACCGGAAATGCATCATGGACGCAGGGGATCGGCACTAAGACCTGGTCCGGTGTAGATAGACGAGCTCGCTGACGACTTGCTCGCCTATGCCTGAGTCTAATTCGCAACCGCGGCGCCATAGCGCCTTTACCAACGACCAGTGCACGCTCCATGGAGGGAGAATTTGAGAAAGCAAAGCGACAATTGGTAAGTGGAAGCCTCGGCATGCATAGTGGAAACATGCACTGCCCTAACAAGACGTTACACTTCCTTCTTCACAGCCCTCTGTATTGTGCATTTTATTGCCTCACAACGAGCCGACGCCATCGATGCTCGACCCGCAGCAGCCCACTATCCACACCTGACTTCGTACATCTCGCTTTGCAGAACCAAACAGATTGCTCGATTAGCGGTATGGCGCATATTGACGAAGCCTGATGTCGAGGTGGCGCGTTACGAACTAAGATGCGATTCTCTACCTCACACCTTCCTCCGAAACACATACGGTCTTCTTCGGTATGCTTATAGCACTCGTCCGACAACTACTGCTCCGCCTACACAACCACGACCGGACTGATTCCCGAATATCTTGGCCTTGAACATATCTCAGACGTCAACAGCGAACAGTCAATCAATTTGAACGTACACAGCCTCTCGGGGATTTCAGTGCGCAGTTGCTCGGCGTGTTTCATTGCATCTTGTCGTCGGCCAACAAAGGTAGAACGTACAAAAGATGACGGCAACCATGTTGGAAGCACCACGAGTACTGGCCACCCCAACTACGAACGACATCGTCTTCCACAAGTCCAGGATGTCGTCTGCCACGACCTCTCACACCTCACGCTCGCCTGATCGGGGTTCCATACAACAAATCGCTGCAAATGCCCTGCAAACGAGATCAGTCGCCATTGATAGGATAGACGGAGCTCTATTTCGAACGTTCAGATTACAGAGTAGTTCAGACTTCTACCATATCCTTCGCTGTCGACCCTCGGTGAGCATCCGGCTACTACGACACGAAGAGGATCGGCTGCAGACTGAAGTGCAGACACTACAAGCATTACGCGGGAGGACTGACATTTTGGTCCCTCGACTTATCGAATACCAATCCACGACTGCAGTGATAGGGAGTCCATATTTCATCAGCGGGCCTTTGAGAGGAGTCTTGCTGTCGGACCTGGAACCTCAACTGTCGAAACAGGCTCAGGCAAATATCGATCGGAGTCTGGGGAGTTTTGTTCGGAGGCTCGCTTCCGTCTCTGGGTCACAATTTGGGAGTCCAAGGATATCCAATAGCACATCGACACCTTCATCATTGTCGTCGCCTTCATGGTCGAAGTGCTTTAGCAACATGCTCGAAAGTATTCTTCGCGATGCTGAAGATGCTCTCATTAGCCTGCCATACGACTTCATACGAGATCAGGTTCGTCGACATCGGGCGTCCTTGGATCAAGTGACGCAGCCCAAGCTACTTCTTCTTGAAATGTTGGGCGAGGGAGATATTCTGGTCGATTCGAGGACTTGTACGATAACGGGATTGCTGGACTGGGCGAGCGCGATTTGGGGAGATCCCTTCTTGTCAGATTGCTTCTATCAGCCTTCGGCGGGGTTTGCTGAAGGGTTTGGCAAGTTGCCTAATTCGACGACTGATGAGAGGATTAGGCAGTACTTGTGAGTTCACGCCCCAAGACATGTGTTATCTGTCCCGACTTAGCTGACCTAGTCGGATGTAGGTATATACTCTACCACGCATTGGCCGCTATCGTGAGGCAATGCTATCGTCCTTCGGAAGGCGGCGATGAGTTCAAAGCGAGAAGAAATTTGACGTCCGCTTTGACGCAGTTGAACAGCATTCCTAGGTGATGAGGTGCAAAATCATCTGTCCTTGTGACTGGGCGGATTGGTGGTACGTCCATCCACTTGCCGCGCGATGCGAGTCGAGACCATCAAGACCACCGGCATGCCGAAGATGAGGCTTGAGTCGGAGCCTCTGCGGTCCGGACATTCATCGATTGTCACAGAAGATGCTCTTCCTCAGCTGGCTGAGATCTAGCATCTTTGCATACTTCTATTCTCATGGCGTTTCGTGGGTATTGGGCGCTGGAGATGACAGCGTTCTTTTGATTCTCCTGGGACAAAGCATGAGTGAAGTGAAGCATTTGTAAGCCATCATAGTTAGCGTTTGCATGTTTAGTGAACATGGGTGGTGGTGCGTTGTGGCTTTAAGCAGCATAGGCATACGAATTCAGGACACGTTGCGCAATTCTCTCTCTGAAAGCAGCGTATCCAGCATCCGAATCTGTCTTGTCATGATATGTTGACAAGCAGGGAGTATGATGTATGCTGTACTGATGAGAATGCAATTGCCGCAACGTGGCCCGGAAGACGCGGAGCCAATCTCCTGTGCTTTGAATCATCCAAGTTTTCGCACAAGCTGTTCCATCATCAGCAGAAGTCAACGTGGTCAGAATCAGCGTGGGAAATGAGTATGAGGGCTGGAGAGAAATCATGTCTCATGTTTGACGAGAGTTTTTCAAATTGGCGAGACGTATCTATCGGCCAAGGTGGCGCTAAGATGCTATCAGTAGGGAGGGGTCCTGACCAAGCATTTTCGAGTCTCGACCTGGTTCGTCGGTGACAGCTGAGCGGCATTGTGGCATTGCACGACAACAACACAATACTGTAATTGTCAAAAAGATGGTGAACGATATGGCGCCATCGAGTCAATTGACATGTGCCATGTTGGCATATGTGAAGGATGTGTGAATGGCAGGTTTATTATTAGTAGGGCAACAGCGGAGCGGTTCACCTTCACAGCGCGCTAGCTGAATGGACACCTGTGCCAAACCTCGATCCCAGGGTCCACCTCCACACAGAGCTTAAAGTTAACACTTTTGAGGCCACGATTCTTCTCTTCCTCTACTTATCCGCCCCTCTCCACCCTCTTTTTCTCTTCCTCCACTACTACGACATTGTCTTGACACCCCACTCAGGACATTCGCTCGTGTACTTTGCTGGAGAGCAATCGACATCATGAAGTACTCACTGGGACTGCTGGGCCTCGCCGCCCTCGCCGCTGCATCCGATGTGCACGACCTGACCAAGGACACATTCGAGGACTTCGTCAAGGAGAACGACCTCGTTCTCGCAGAGTGTGAGTACCGCCAGATCTCTGAGCTCGAGCTTCTCTCCCATGCTAATCCTCATATGCAGTCTTTGCCCCATGGTGCGGACACTGCAAGGCGCTCGCGCCCGAGTACGAGGAGGCGGCGACGACGCTCACAGACAAGGCGATCAAGCTCGCCAAGGTCGACTGCACTGAGCAACAAGAGCTGTGCCAACAATACGGTGTGGAGGGATACCCAACACTGAAGGTCTTCAGAGGCCCAGAGAACATTGCGCCATACCAGGGCCCACGAAAGGCACAGGCCATCGTCTCATACATGGTCAAGCAGTCTCTGCCGGCTGTCTCGATCCTGTCTACCGCAGAAGCTCTCGAGGAGTTCAAGACCGCCGACAAGGTGGTCCTCGTTGGCTACTTCGGCGCTGATGACAAATCCTCCAACGCCACCTTCACTGAGCTGGCCGAGGAGCTCCGCGACAACTACCTCTTCGCTGCTACTTCTGATGCCGCTTTGGCCAAGGCTGAGGGCGTCGAGCAACCCGCTGTCGTCCTTTACAAGTCCTTCGATGAGGGCAAGACCACATACACTGAGGGCTTCAGCAAGGATGCTTTGGTCACTTTCGCAAAGACCGCCGCCACTCCATTGATTGGCGAGGTTGGCCCTGAGACTTACTCCGACTACATGAGCGTAAGGCAATGATCTGAATCCGAAGACGTGACAATTTGCTAACTTCGCCGCAGTCTGGTCTTCCACTCGCATACATCTTCTCCGAGACCGCCGAAGAGCGCGAATCGCTCGCCAAGGACCTCAAGAAGCTTGCCGAGAAGTTCAAGGGCAAGATCAACTTCGCTACTATTGACGCTGAGGCCTTCGGTCAGCACGCTGGCAACCTCAACCTCGAAGTTGGCAAGTGGCCAGCTTTCGCCATCCAGGACACCGCCAAGAACCAGAAGTTCCCATACGCTGAGGCTGGTGATGTCAAGAAGCTCACCGAGAAGCTCCTGAGCAAGTTCGTCGAGGACTACAGCGAGGGCAAGGTCGAGCCAAGCATCAAGAGCGAGCCTATCCCAGAGAAGCAGGATGGTCCAGTCACTATCGTCGTGGCCAAGAACTACGAGGAGATTGTCTTGGATGACAAGAAGGACGTCCTGATCGAGTTCTACGCACCATGGTGTGGACACTGCAAATCTCTTGCACCAAAGTATGACGAGCTCGGAACTCTCTTCAAGAGCCACTCCGACAAGGTCGTCATCGCTAAGGTCGATGCCACCCAAAACGACGTCCCAGATGAGATTCAAGGCTTCCCAACGATCAAGCTCTACAAGGCTGGCAGCAAAGACGCTCCTGTCGACTACTCTGGCGCCCGTACTGTTGAGGACCTCGCCAACTTCGTTCGTGACAACGGCTCCCACGGTGTTGACGTCTCTGACGCCATCGGTGCTGATGCTGAGGATGTTGACACTGAGGGCATGCCACAACAGGCTGCTGCCGCTACTGAGGCCGCTGAGGGTGTTGCGGACAAGGTCAAGGAGAAGGTCAAGGAGGCTGGTGAGGCTGTCAAGCAGGCCGTCCTCGATGACGACGAGGTTGCGGACCACGACGAGCTTTAGATGACTGCTTTTATGAAATTGTTTATTGGCTGGCTGCTTGTACGTATGCCCTGGTCTAGAGTACGCGGATGATTTAGGATGCTTTGCAAATACCGCGAGGAAAATTTCTCAATCAGTATACGATACTTCTAGTGTATCTTGGTGCAGCTCAGCCTTTCCTTTCCACAGCCTGGCTTCGTGCTCACATCGTGTCCGCCATCTCCGCTTGTACCATGTGCCTCATGGTTGAGCGGTTTCCAAATGCAACCACTCTGGGCCGATAGGTAGGAGGCATGAAACATACCGCCCGCACCTGGCGGCATTCAATGCAGCCAAATGTCTTCTGGTCCTCCACCGCATCATGTGATTCTCACGCCAGGCGTGATTTATGCTTCAGTACTTGAGCATTGCATGCCGCGCCATGCTTGCATTCTCCACCGAGCCTTTGAGACATCCGAAATCTCAGCCCTCGAAGCAGGCGTCTGAAAATCATACGCCGGGGAAAATTTTCTGCCTCCTGCATCGCAGCATCCAATTTCTCTCACCGCTCCAGTGCCTCCACCACCTTCCTCTTCTCATCCTGACTGAAACACGCCGTCCCCTGCTTCAACGCCGAGATCAACAGCGGCACACTCTTCGCATTAAAATCTCCCGCAGACCGCAATCGGTCCAAATCATTTGCGAATTCTTTCGTGACTTGGCGGAGATAGAATTCTTCGAAAGCTTTTTCCGAATCTTGTTTTGGTTTCTTTTGAGTGAAAACTGGAGCGGAGTCGGAATCTGTGTTCAAAGCGGCTTCTTCGGGTTCTCGGACTGCGGTTTTCGTTTTCGTACGCTTGACTTTTGTTGCGGGAACGGAGACATCGCTTTCGGTATCTGATGAGGAGGATGATGATGAAGCGGAGGAGACTGGGTGGCGTTAGAATCAGGTCTTGATGTTGAGGGCATGATCAATACCTTCTGTTCGTGATTTGCGTTTGTTTCGACGCTTCTTTTCGACTTTCTTTGGAGGCATATTGGGTAGTTGTGATGGCCACTGAGCATTGGGCTCTTGCCGTTGGTCGAGATGTGGCTGAACTCGAGGTCTTGGCATCGGAGGTCTCAGGCCATCCCTTCCGTTCGTCCTCTTACCTCCTACTCCTCTCACACTGTTCAACACTTCATAACCAAGTCATGGATGACTTTGCCGCATCTATGTGTGACCCGACAACATTAAATCGACTGAGAGCCGTCTTCACTTCCACGAGAGCAACAGCACTGCACTGAATTCCGTCTTTCTTCAGCATCACAGCACGATACGAGAGCCAACGAGAACATGCGACAGCAAAAGTCAGCGATTTGATGCTTCCATGAGAATCTCACATTAAGTTCCTTTGCACGCTAAATACCGAAACACATCGCCTCTGGTTGCAAGAATACGTCCGCGCAAAAGGGTATCACGAAATGAAGCTTGTCCCACATCGGACGGACGCCGACTGTGCTGCGACGTATCCCCTTCTATTCCCAGCCAGTCATTAGGTATCATTAATCTCATCACAGGAGCCGAGATCTGCTACTCGTCCCTTCTATCCGCCATGCATCTTCATGCAAGTGGCCTTCCCGCGGCCGCACGCTCTCTTCTCATTGCCCAGCCTTTCATCGCAAAGAGGACCACTTCCCACGCCAGAATGATACCGCTCAGGCCCATGGTGAGGGTGAAAATAGTCATGGCATCCAGGCCGTTGCTCTCGATGGCCCACACGCAATCTGCAGCGCTGTTCATGAACATCAGCCCTCCACTCGTCAAGCAGAACGCAGCGACGATCTCGCTCGGTGGCCTGGGTGGAAAGTGAGAAGTCGGGGGCTTGAGGTACATCGTGATGTACGTCACTCCCCGAGCGATCGCGAACGCCGAGAAGAGCCCTCCCCATTGAGCATGCATCATGGTGCTGACCATGCTATTCTGGTGATGCGAACCCATCATCATGCCCAAGAGCATAATCGTCAAAGCCGGCATTGGGTTCAGAGATGTCCGATGTGATTGTGGCTCTTCCCAGTGCTGACCTTCAGTCTCTCGCTCTGCGTGCGACAGAGTAAAGCGAGACCAAGCGACGTCCCTGCTCTTCTGATCGAGGACACTCGTATTCATCAGATCACGGACCCAGCCACATTCGATCAGCATTCCGAGCAGTCCTCCGCCGAAGAACAGTATCGTGATGCTAAGATGCTCGATGTCTGATGCGGTCCACACGCCGTCCTTGGTGTTCAGATGCTCCAGGAAAACATTGGTTGCGCCGTAGAGCCAGATGACAAAAGATTCGGTGAACTCGGCGGATGGGATTATCGACTTCCATTTAGACACCAAGGGGGGCTGAGGCCGCACATTCCAAGCCCAACCGAACTCTGCAAATGCTCCCATCCAGCGGCCCAGGGTCAGGAGGCCATACCAGAAGAAGATGCCGCCTTTGATGTAGTGAGCCAGGCCGGAGAAGATCTGTTTGTGGCGGAAAAGACCTCCAGAGACGATGAATCCAGAAGTGAGTCCGGCGAAGCCGAGCAGCAGGATGATCTTTTCCAAGAAGATCTGAGTGATACGAACGGCACTTGCTATCCTACCAGAAGAGAAACGTTGCGCGCCTTCCGTCAAGAAGCGCTTCACTCTCTGGCTACCCAGGAAAGCTCTCTGCTCTGAGTCTCTATCGTCGAGCTTCTCGTCATCGAACTCTTGGTCACTCGGAGGCTCCTCTGGCTTCTGGTATACGCTGTCTGTGGAGTTCTGTCGAGACCCAAAACCAGAATCCCTCGAATCACGAGGAGAGAACTCATCGTTGTATGGAGACTGCAGTTCCAATTGCAACGCCTCATGGATGGGCAGCGGTCCTGGTCGCTTTATCGAGGATCGCCCGGACTGCGCATGCTCTTCATGCGCAGTGTACAACGAGGACATGGTCCAGAAAATGGTGAATGCAACAATCACCCAGCCAAGTGGATGATGCGCATTGTTCACGTAAAGGTCAGGTGTCGACCGATTGTAAACAAGGCCAGCGAATAACCCAAGCCCGTTCACGACATGGAACAAGAGCTGAGACAGTAGGTGCCACCGCGAGCGCGCCACGCTGAGGAAAATCGCCAGAGGCATGCATATGACCCATGACACCACCATCAGCACAGTATGGGCAAGGTGCCAATTCCAATGACCTGGATGCCGGAAGTAATTCAGAGCTTTATGCTCTGGCTGCGCTGCCAATTCTGCCATATGATCGCCCATATCCATCTCCTCTCCACCGCCTCCATGAGCTGCTACGTATGGCAGCACTCCCAGAAGGAGTGCTATTGATGCGTGTATGGTTGCGCCCCTGAGCGGCATCAGTCGTTTGGGAAAATGTTCGAGGTGAGTAAAGGTGAGCTCAGAGTGCCAAAAAGTTGAGGTGCTCCGAGAGCTGCTTGTTAAGTTGCAAGTAAGAGGTCGGTGAACGCGAGCGCGCGACTTTTTAGAGTTCTGGAGTACACCACGCAAGAGCTCAAGAGTCATACACGTGGGAGAAGGTAAGTGAGAGAGGGTACATCGAGGTCAGACATGCATATGAGCGGTAGGCGCAACTTATCGACGCGCCCACGCGCCTCTCTCGCTCGGCTCAGTGACTTCATGGAGTCGTTGTTCCTGGCGTCTGCATGACCCGACAACTTCCTTCACGGTCTAAATCACTTCATGCGATCCTCCGAGTGGGACTGGCTCGGTCAGCAAGGCGCAACGAAGAGTTCCCTCTCACAAAAGTCCGATCTTGAGTGCTCAAGCTCGTTGCATCATAGGGCAAGGCTACCGCTAGACCCAGCGGGAATGCCGTACGTGCCAGGATCCGTCAGCTTCCGCAAACAGATCATGCAACACTCAGGCCACGGACGAATCAGATTGCGGATACCGATCGTATGGTATGGCACATGAACAGAACTTGCAGGTCGCAAGACTCGTCGATTGTTTTGTTCGGCGTCGGAGCTCCGCGGACGCCGGTGGGACCGAGCTGACAGAATTATGCCTCAGTCTTGCACTTTGCGTCAGTGAAGAACAGAGAGGCCGATGAGTCCGAAGTCCGCAATCGTTGGAACGCAGCAGTCTGGTCACAAGCCAATCTACAGATGCCGCTCCTCATCCCAACAGCACGACATGGCCTGGATTCACGTCATCCGGCTCGGACACAACAGCAGGATGGCAGCTGCAACTCTGCGTCCTATCGCCAGCACAGCTGCGGATCAATACTTGCTGTGTTCAGGACAAGCACTGTAGGGCTAAGCGCCAACGACCATTTGATGACCTTTTCTTTCGCCAAAAACATCTCCTTTCAGCCTTCTTGCATCCTTGTAGACGCCGCTGCCGAAAACCGAACAATCTTTTAGTCGACAACAGGCTGGTCTAGTCCAAAGCGCGGTCACCGCGGCCGGCACTAAATCGAGCAGATCGAACATCACTCGCTTCCACTTCGGACTTCATTCACTCATTGTTGCCCATCATTGGACAAGAATGTCCAAGATCACCACGCGGTGACCGCGGTCGCACCAAGAATCGCATGAAGATCGTGCTGGGCGACGTGTGGGTGAGTCAAAGGATGCTTGCATCTTCTCGCAACTGGTTCGCGAAACCTGCACCTCACCCATCCTTCAAGGCTGCAGCTTTTGTGTTGTGTGATGTGGCATGTGTGTCAACTTGTGGAGCAGTCTTTGTTCGACCACTGCCCTGCTGGTTGTTGATCATGTAAGCAAATCCACTCTGCAGGATTTGTGGCTGCTGACTGCCGAGACTACAGCGGTCTGGTGGATGTGTTGTGAGAGCTGCTTCGGGAAAGTAGCTCGGGGACTGTGAGCTCTCAGTCTCCTGTTGGGGCCGCCCGAGCTGCGAAGGGTGCTCTGCGAACAGGAACTGTCAACATGAGAGTTACAGCGTGCTTTTGGGCAATCAACAGAGCTCGAAAAGACTACATCGACAGAAAAGGGCCACGAATGCTACCGCCTCATGACTCTAGCATACCAGATGCATATGCATATGCACATGTAAAGGTCTCCTCGCTTCGGTCTTGGTGGTGGAGGTACACATCAAGCACCCAAGTCGGACTCACGGTCTTATTTCCGTTCTATGGCAGTCTGCGGGCCTGCTGCAGAACTCCGCTGCATACAGCAGGCAGGAATCGCGCAATGAAACTGGTACCTCTTTCCGCCTCATGCGGCAGACTTCCGATGCATTTTAGCGATGTTGACATGTGGTATGTGGTTCGTGGCGTTTAGATTCGCAGGCTGTGGCTACCACAAGTCTCATGACTTGGCGGCCATATGTACTGGCTTGGGCGAAGTTGTGAACCAGCCGTGCTGAAGCACCACATTTGAGCAGGACACTTTGACTTCACAGTAGTGGCAGAATGGAAAGGTCTGCGATGCATAAAGTCGACTTTTGGATAATCCTCAATGTCCTTGCATCTGCCTAACACGGGCAGGGGCGGTCTAGATCTGCTCTTCTATCATCTAAACATGTAGATGCTTGCGACCAGCATACCGTTTCTTCCACAGGCCTGAGTGACGCGGCGAAAAGCAGCCGACATTTTCGGTCTCTCGGATTTTCATCAACTTACGTTTCAGCTTCATGGATCATACCATTCATTCCTCGTCACCACCTCCTCCGGGAGGCCCCGACTTGCCCATTTGCCGTGCCTTAAGCATCTCGTCGCACAGGAGCAGATTTGATGCGATGCCTGTTGAGCTTGCGATGCTGTTTCGTAGCACGCGAAAACTGTCGAAAACACCCTGCTGTTCTGGGTCCATCGGCTCGCCTAACGTGAGATCAAGACCTGCGACGTGGCCGTCCGCGTGTTCGTCTTGAAGGGTGGCAACTGTGAACTAGGTTAGCAAAGAAGACAACAAGTGGTGCGTGCGTTACTTACTGCAATCCTGGATATCGTGCCCACTGTTCGCTGCGAGAGTCTTGGGAATGACAAGGAGAGCATCTGCGAAAGCTGCAACGCCCCATTTCGATTTACCCTTGACTTGTTTCCCAAACTCGTCCGAATTGAGTCTCCGCGCAGCAGCGACCTGGAACGCACCACCACCAGGAACAACACTCTTATCGACAATCATGTTGTATACTGATCGTAGACCATCGCGGACTGCGTCCTTGATTTGTGTGATCGTGTGTGCGTTCGGGCCCTTGATCAGGATCGTCACTGACTTGGGCTCCTTGACCTCCTCGATGAACGTGTATTTCTCCTCTCCCAACTGGTGCTCGTACACATGGCCGGCCCAGCCCAAGACATCTGGTGACAAGTCGTCCACACTGTTCTGTGCCGTGCCACCGCAGATCAATTGTAGTCGTTCCATGTTCCTCCTCTTTGCTCTTCGCAACGCAAAAATGCCATTCTTGACCAGCACATCGAGCGACAGTGGGTCGATACCCTTCTGGTTGATGATGACGAAGCCCTTATTGGGATCGGTCCCGCAGACTTCCTTCTTCAGCTCTACAATCTTCCTCAGCTTGTCGTCGACAAATCTCCGCTCGCTCTCGACCAGCTTTTCTCTCTGCTCTGCACTGTTGTAGTAGAAACCACTGTTGATCTCACTCTTCTCGTATTCCAAGCTCACGTTCAATGTCAAGATGTACGCATTTCGCACATCCTTGGGCATGTCTGGATGTCTGGCTCCGTGGTCCAAGGCCAACCCTCGAATCAGCTGTGTGTCTGCGGCGGTGCGGTGCTGCATCGTCATAATCTCGATCATGTGTAAGTCGGGCTTTGCGGGAGCCTGGTAGATGGCCAAGACGGCGTCCACGATATCTGGAGTCAGCTGCTCGGCCAGAGTCTTGTTGATCTTCGTGGTCAAGCTCGTCCGTGCAACGTTGATGAGAAGTTCCCGGTCAACCTCTCGAGGCAGCTTGAACTCGTCCAAAAAGCGCAGTGTCTCGTTCTTTGCCACTTCGTAGCCGTCGGTGATGACTCGTGGATGGAGGCCTTCAGCAATGTATCGATCTGCTTGCTTCAACAACTCGCCAACCACGAGCACAACGCTCGTCGTCCCATCACCGCAAATTTCGTCCTGTGCCGTGGCTGCTCGCGCAATCATGACTGCCGTTGGGTTTTGTATTTGCATCTCTTTCAACAATACACTGCCATCCTTGGTGAGCTTGATTTGGCCTGACCCATCAACCAGCATCTTCAGTGTTCCGGTTGGGCCCAGATTGGAGGCAAGCACATCTTGCAGTCCTTCGCCCGCTGAGATGTTGACGCGGAGCGCTTCGCCGCGCCGCCGCGACTCTGCCTTTGGATTGAGTAGTTGAGCTGCCGACATGATGATGCGCGTGCTGTGGCAGTGTGATGTGTCGAAGGTGTCGTGTTTGCTGCCCGCAACGTCTGTTCAACTTTTTGGAGAGCTTGCCTACGCGACTCGCTTGTCCCCGCTTAGTTCGGCTAAGCCCTAGAAAACCTCAACAGGGGTGATCATCAATGCCACTTCCTGTCAACTACATAAGTTAGACTCATCCTACTCGTTTGGGTCTTTCACTGACTCTTCCGAGCTTCAAAGATTTCTCATAGCCCTTCGTAGGTCCTCAAGTTCTCCTCTCTTCTACTACCACCATGTCAACACAAATCCTTCCCGACCCAGAAACGATACGATCGTCCAGATCAGAGCTCATACGGACCCTGCCTGCTCAAGGTCTAGGCACTGCTCAAGCCATCAAGCATCTCCAACAAGTGATTGAACCTGCGTTGAACCAGAGCTCTCAGTCACCGAACTACTATGGCTTTGTTACCGGAGGCTCTACTCGAGCTGCGTCTCTCGCCGATGAGCTAGTCACCCGATACGACCAGTCAGTGGCCATTCATCTGCCCAACGATACCATAGCTACAGATGTTGAGGATGCTGCCCTTCGCCAAATATTAGACATGGTCAAGCTGCCGCAAGAAGAATGGCAACACCGCATCTTCACCACCGGAGCTACTGCCAGCAACGTCCTTGGTCTTGCTTGTGGTCGCGAATGGGTCATCGCCGAAGCCGCCAAAAAGAAGGGCGTGACAGCCAACATATCCGAAGATGGCATCCACGAAACATTCAACAAAGTAGACATCGACGCGATCCAAATCCTCACAACCACACCTCACTCCTCTCTCGGAAAAGCAGCATCCATCATCGGCCTAGGGAGAAACTCCATCAAACCTCTCGGCCTCTACCACACACCCTGGAACTTCGACCTCCCATGGCTCGAGAAAGAACTCTCCAAACCCCGGACAGCCTCGATAATCGTCATCTCCGCCGGCGAGGTCAACACAGGCTTCTTCGCCACCACAGCCGGTGATCTCCTCACAATCCGCGAGCTCGCAAACAAGTACTCCGCTTGGATCCACGTCGACGCGGCCTTTGGCCTCCAAGCCCGCCTCCTACCAACCGACAGGAACGACTACGCCGTCATGGCTCAAGGTGTCGAACACCTCGAATTGGCCGATAGTATAACAGGCGACGCCCACAAACTCCTCAACGTCCCCTACGACTGCGGCCTCTTCTTCTCCCGGCACCTCGCCCTCGGCCGAGCCGTCTTCCAAAATTCTGGCGCAGCCTACTTTTCTTCTTCCGATACCTCCATCCCCTCACCCGCAAACCTCGGAATCGAAAACTCTCGCCGTTTCCGTGCTCTGCCAGTCTACAGCACCCTCCTAGCCCACGGCAGCGCAGGCTACCTCTCCATTCTCGAATCACAAATCGCTCTCGCGCGAGCAATCGGGACATTCATTCAAAGTGAACCCGCATTGGAGCTGTTGCCCAGATTTCCGCCAAGTTTCAGACGAGTGAAAGAACAGTGGCTGAATCGGATATACGTCGTGGTGTTGTTCCGCGCCTTGAATGATGAAGTGAACGAGACATTGGTCGAAAAAATCAACGCGACGCGAAAAATTTATGTGAGCGGTACAGTGTGGGATGGCCGACCAGCTGCAAGGTTCGCGGTGGCGAATTGGCAGGTCGATGTAGAGAGGGACATGAAATTGATCAAGGAAGTGCTGTGGTCGGTTCTAGATTAAACAATTGAGAAATAGACAGTAGGGAACACCAGCTTAGGTGGAATTTATTGGACCTCAGATCACGCACATAGTGCAATATTGTATGCCACGTTGACTTCGTGTGTATGTTCTGAGATTTTATCTTTCTTCTTGTATAGGTTGTGAGCCTCGCCTGCCTCCGTCCGCATCATCGTCTCCGGGTATCATTATCATGCCTCAGGTTGCCATAGAATGCATGTCCGCCTAGAGCAATATGAGCCGCTGCTGCAGCTCTACCGCCGACCCTATTGCCACGCCACGCCACGCCACGCCACGCCACGCCACGCCACGCCACAAGGCCGTTATGTGCCGTACATTCCCAAATGTATTCCAGGTTTTTCCAAAAGAGAGCATCCAATCGCTCAATGCAAGCACATGCTTCTTTAAGATCAATAGAAGTCCAGAACGCCTTCGCAATGCGTGAAAGTATCCATCTGCAACCAGCTCTGCGCGCTGTCGATCATGCCACACTAGCCTTCACGTCCCCTCGACTCTCCATTTCCAGCAAAGTCCTGAGCTCCTTAAACTTGACCGGCTTCGGCAGAAAAACGTCGATTCCAACTGTTTCAGCTTCCTCTCTCGCCTTCTCACTCGCAAGACCCGTGAGGGCAATAACAGTACTCTTCTTTAGCCCATATTCCTTTTCAAAGGCACGTATGCACTTCGTACTCTCCATGCCATCCATGACCGGCATACTAATATCCATGAGGACAAAATTGAACGGAGCAGGTTTACTTCTCGTACTAGCACTAGTATTGACGCTGTCAAGAGTACCGCTGCTCGACGTGCTGTCTTTTCTGAGTTCGGAGATGGAGATTTCTGTCTCTGATTTCTGATCGTGATCGTCGAGACTTGTCGTCGTCGAAGGCGCGTCTACAAGAGCTTGCGCAGCGCTTTTTTTATACACGTCCAAGGCCTCCTGGCCATTTTCGGCTTCGCGATAGGTGAAGTTGCATCTTTTCATGAACATGACTAGCAGCTGGCGGTTGATTTTGTTGTCATCCACAAGGAGCAAGTGAGGAGACGGCCCCTTCTTATCTGGTACGATGGTCCGGCCGCTATCGTTCTTATCGAGTGGCGGTCTCGAGCGTTCCTGCAACGGACCTCGGAGTTGCTTATTCTGTTGCTCCTCGGGCGACTGTAGGGAGGGCGTGCTAGGATCAATAGGTGGTGCTCTGGGATACGACACGGCGGCACTGACAGTTTTCCGAAGGTCGTCCATGTTGTGGCGTGGCTTTTCTTCGGCTTGTGCGCTCGCCGCTGGGTGTTGCTGTTGTTGCGTAACTTTGTCCTGTGGGGGGACTTCGCTGTCCTTGTCGATTGTCGGCGAGGTAGGGACGCTCTCGCCGGACTCCTCGCGCCCATGTCTCACTTCTTCGGCTCTGCGAAGACAGTGGTCAAATGTCTTGGCCAGTTTACGAGGCCCGCAGGGCTGCGGAATAACCTCGACGATCCGGCCCAAATCGCGCAGCGTGTTTTGCTGAGTCCGAGTCATGTTGACAGCGTCTTGGTCATTCATGCACACGATGATAATAGGAACTTCTCGCTCGTCACGCTCCAGCTTCCCGTTTCGCGCCAGTTCATCCATGACACGATTCTGCTCGCGTAACTTCTCAACGGGCGGAGGCTCACAGAAAACACTACGGGACTTGTCAGCATCAGCGAGCCTTCCAATGGACTTTGATGAACTCACTAAATGTCGGCGTCTGCAATGTTCATCTCGGTGCTGTGGGACACTCTCATGCCAAACCAGCTTGAGGTGATTTCGCGCAACGTTTGCGTGAATCTAGACGACGGACTTGTGGGCAGTCGGCTCTGTTTAGTGGCAAAAGGATCAAGAATGACGAGATGTCGACCCCGAGTCCTCTGTTCAATGCGTACCATTTCAAGATCGACCACAACATCCTGTGAGTCGCCGGAAGCGGTGCCGTTACTGTTTCCTTCTGATTGACCTAGACTGGACGCTGTGGCCGTTGGCAGGCTCAGATGAACATCAATCTCGGTACCTACTCCTTGTTCAGACTTGACATCGATTCTCCCACCGAGAGAATCGACGATCTGCTTAACTATACTTAGTCCCAAACCTGTACCGGGCTGGAAGGGGTCTTCTTGCGAGAAGGGAACGAAAAGGCGATCGCGCTGAAATGACTCCGACATGCCCTTGCCCGAATCCACGATCCGGATGAGCGCTTTTGTTCGTGTGTGGTCTGCGCTCTCTTGTGCTCGTAGGGAGAGAGCTACAAACCCCTCGGAGGTATATTTGAGTGCGTTTCCCAACAAGTTCATGACGATTCTTCGCAAAGCACCGGGTTGGATGCGAACGAGCCATGACCGGCGGGGCGATATGTCCAGAAGTACCATAACATGTCCAGCGGCCAGCCCAGAGGCATTGGCGCTAGTCAACGTGTCAGTTGGCTCTCCCGCTGTCCCGCCCTGTTGGGCATTGGAGAGAGAAGCGGAGTCTGGAAGTCGCTTGAACGTATGCCCAGCAGTGACGGCCTCGGCGACTTCTTCCACAAGAATACCGAGGTCTATGTCGGCAGTAATATTCAAGCTCTCCAGCGTCGAGTCGGAAGCCAAGTTGATCGGCTTGTTCTGTTTTGCCCGCCTCCGCATTTGCGTGCGGCCCAACTTGTTGATCTTGCTGTAGTCCAAGACGTGATTGAGCGTATCGAGCAAGGTCCTACCGCAGGTGACGATAGAGGTGACGAGCCCGGACTGGTAGGAGTCATTCACGGTGTCCATCAGGAATTCTGCTGCGCCCAGAATGCCATGAAGTGGACTGCGGAGTTCATGTGACATGGACGCAATGAAGGTCGTCTTGGCAGCTTCATTTCTCTGCATGTTTAATCGAATAACTTCGCTCACGATGCAGTTGCCAAACGCACGAAGGTATGCCAGGTCAGAGTCTTGAAGCATCCTGCCCGTTACTGAAGTCCAGAGAAATATACCTGCAATCAATCTCTCCTCTGCGTGATCGTAAAGGGGAAGGAATATGACCGTCTTCGCACCGGGTATTTTCTTGAGAAGCTCTTTGTGGTCCATCCGTCGATGGCGCACCCGACCTCTGCCTGCAGCAGTCTGACCATCACTGTTTGAAACTGTCGAAGGCTCTGCTTCTGTTGCACTCGCAACGGCGTCACTTTCTTCTTCAGATGATATGCCAGCGCCCTCTTCGGTGAATGAGAACGTCTTGCCCTGCGGGTACAACGCAAAGTACTTTTCTAGAGTAGCGAGTGTCAAGGCAGTACCAGTCTCGATTCCGGCTCGAGCCTGCTCGTCTGCAACCGCAAAGGAGAGGATCTTGCAGGGTCTCGAGGCCGGAGTCGAGTCGGAATCTGACGTGTTCTCATGTCCTCCAGAGTCTGAGCTTGGTGATGCCTGGCCATACATTGTCCCTGTGTGGTTCTGCGTCACCCCGTCCAGATTGTGCGGGGTTGCTCTGATGTTCGGTGTACGGCCACTATCTGCTGTGGCGCCAAACAAGGCGCAGCCATCAGCGAGAGTCGCTTCGCGCAGGATGTCCGCAGCCGCAGCAAATATGCGAGTCATGCCGTCTCTTCGCCCTTCGCCCATGGAGCCAGCGTTCCTGGTGGACTTCCTGCTGACCAATGCAGGCCTTTGCGATTGCCTCGACTTCGGTCTGGTTGCTGAAGCGTTGGTCGGCCTCTCTCCAGAGTCTGCTGCTTTTGGTTCTGCTGAAGCGTCTCGAGCAGGCCCATCGTGATTCGCAGCGCAATCTTCGATGAAAGAGGCCATGCCTCGCACAATGCGATCTCCCTTGAAGCGATCCACGCGGTCTCGCGCCCATTCAAGATGTTCCATGACGTTTTGGGCAGTCTCTTGCAACAGGCGCAACTGCTCTGCCGTTAGACCGGCGCGAGGCTCGACATCCGATACCGCTATGGTTCCAATCATAATCCCGTTGCGCGAGTACAGTGGCACGCCGGCGTAGAATCGTACGCCGGGCTCGGAAACAACGTATGAGCGGTCCTTGAAGCGATCATCGAGCCGGCAGTCGGGCACAATGAGACCCTTGGTGTGGTACATTCGGCCATCTTCCTCAGGCGCAGAGCATGTATTGAACATACAATGTTCGCACACGGCGTCTGGGCGAGACAGAATGGTGCTCCCCAGCCAGAGTTCGTCGCCATCCTTGCCCTCATTCTTCGCGGCCGAATAGGAGCGCGTGGCCTCGGCGAGGATGTACTGATTTGTGGTATCAATCAGCGATACCATGCATCGCTTCACGTCGAGGCGCAGGGAAACCAGCTGGGCGAACGCGGTGATGGCTTTGTCACGCGAGGTTTTGGGTTGATAGCCTTGTTTCTGCAAGTGGAATTGGGCGATGGAATCGACGTGCTTGGCGACATTCAGACTCGAACCGTGGGCGGCCAGCCATGGCTGGTAGTAGCGCTGGGTCTCGCGCTCTTGGAGGGTCGACATGATGCCGCGGGCGGCGTCGCGGGCGGCTTCAGAGCATGAGGAGGGGCGGCGCGGCGATTTCAGCACATGTGCGGAGGAGGGCAGATCTAGAACGTGGTGAGCAGCGCCGCAGAGCAGGGAGAAGTCAGTAGGAGAGGTAGTGCGACGACAGTGGGTCAGGCACGGGCACAACAATGGAGAGCTCTCCGCGGGCAGCAGTCGGAGCCGGATACTGGCGCTGGGCTGGGCTGGGTGCTGGACGAGGCGGCGGTGGGGAGCGCTCCTCTCGTCTCGCTTCCTTCAAAGCCACAGCAGAGCCTGCCGCCGCTGCCGTTTGGCGACTGCGCGCGCGAGGTGGCGGAGGAATTTGGCGCGCTGCAGAAAAAACGCCCCTGCGCCCACGGCCATGCAAAGGTCAGAATGACGCCTCGCGCATCGCGATGCGACGTCTGGTCGGCTCGCTC